TATATATATATATATATATAAAATAAATGTTATATTTTTTTTAAGTGTATTAATATATAATATTTTGTAATTGTTTTATATTAAGAAAAAAATGTTATTTATATATATATAAATGTATTTATTGTAACTACTTAAGTAAACTGTAAGCATATTATATTAATATTTACGTATATAAGTATATTGTCCTAATATTTAAGTATTATATAGTTATTATTAAGTGTTATATATAATTTGCATGTTTTATATATTTTATGTACGATGTTTTTGTTAGAATAGTAGTAAGGTTTTCTGCAGTTTTCCTTACTCTCGCAACGAATGTTGGTATTCACGTAATAAATCAGCTGCAGACATAAAACAAAACAAAGAAATACTTTCTTTATTATTATTTGTATTAACTGTTTGTTCTATTTGTTTAAAGGAACTTTCTTTTCTTTGTAACTTCCTTCATATTTCCTTCCTTGCTAGGGGCCTAACGATACCTCAGATCTTATCAAGATACCTACATTACTGAGCAGCCATAGCGTTTGCTTAGTGCGCATGCGTCACTTTATTCCCACATAGCCCATCACTGGGTGCTTACGACGAATCATCGGATTTCTAATCCGACCGAACAGTGGTACTCAATGCATTTCAAAAAAACTCCCTAGCCTAATCGGATTCTTATGACTGTCTCGAAGTAATCGGATTGAGAACGGATCGTGAGAAGAGACGGATTGTAAATATTCGTGAAGAGCAATTTTGCGAATTTGCAGAGTGCATATAGACATAGAGGTACGTACGTTAATTATTATTCTAATAATTATTGTGTACTTTATTCTGAAAAAATGTATATCAATAATAGAAAAAATACAGATTAGTAAAAGAATTCTGGAAAAGCAAATATAACCTCACTTTATTAAGTTTTAATTGTAATTGAAAGAGTACTAATGATATAATTATATATTATTTATTATTATATTTTACAGAAAATTGTTAAAGCCTTATTTGTTAGATTAGTTCAAAATGTTATTTGTATCGTTTTTCGTCAATTTGAACTAAATATTATAATAACAATCTTTTTATATTTTATTATATATCTACATAAATTATTAATTTACATAGGAAACATATAAATATGAATATATTTCTCTTATGGAATATTTTCTTTAATAATGAGGACGATGAAGATGACGATTGGCAAATGTTCCGTGTCAGAGAACCACATTTAAAAATTAATAATTATTATGAGAATATTGTCCTTCTATATTCTGTCACAGGTAATGATAAAATTTTTTATACATTATTTGTTTAAATTTTATATAAAATGCTATTTACACAGAACAAAATAGTCACTGCATATAATTCTATATTCATGATATACATACTTACAACGATGTTAGCATTGTTGGACCGGGTTAAAAAATGCTATTCGGTGACGATAGCTGTACTGGTCGATTTACTGTACTGGTAGGATTTTGAGAATTTCAAAGCCCAGAGTTCTGACATTATTGTAAACGCGTTTTAAATATTTCTCATAAAATACAAATCTTGTATATTATTAAAAATTTAATAACAGTTGTAATACTGAATATACGAATATGTGAGAATTACTAAAAGAATAGTAAATTGTAATGCATAAGGACATTTGAAAATTAAGATAAACATTTGATACATTTATACAGTTTATTACACGTCACAATTGAATAGATGGGTACAACAATCAAATAAAACATGTTTATTTAATATATCAAATAAATATATTTTCTTCCATCACTGTATGTACACATGTTTGTGCAATTGTGAAACTTTCTACACTATTTTTATATTTTTTCCTATTTTGTAGATTTTAAATCACATTTTCGTATTACCAGAACTACGTTTGAGAACTTAATACAAGATCTTGGACCAGCCATAATTGAAAGGCATAATTCGCTTAAATTGCCAGTAGCTAAATAAATTGCTATAACACTTTGAATTCTTGGTAATCAAGAAGTTTACAGGTTAGTAATAAAAATATCAATATTTTATTTGTAATGCTCCTCTTTTAGATTAGTAGCATATAATAAATCCTAATAATAAATCTTTTAGATTAGTAGCACATAATAAATTAATTAATGTAAAATGTTTGAAATAACGGTCAATAAATATTAATTTAAAATTATATATAGTTTTTATAGATTAACATCTTTATAATATATGATGCTTGATTGTAGCATCAAATTATTAAATTGTTTGTCAATTTAATTCGCGATTACTAGAGTAGTTTTAATTGCGTTTATTTAGTCCGGAAAAAATTCGGCGCGCAGTTTGAAAAAGACTACAATATGGTATATATGCAAGTACATATATAGTATATATTAGTAATTCAAGATTGAATTATTTAAAGCAACGAAGATCCAGCTCCAACCGTAATAGGCCGTTACACCCTAGTATTAATTGAGTTTCTCAAATATACGGTCGTAAATATATTGTTTAAAATTATATGTTATATTAGACTTGTCTGGTTTAGATCTGTTGCAGATCGATTTGGTACAACAAATGATACTATATGGAGGACTGTCTTTAATATGGCATACGTATTACAGGAACATGTACAAAATTACATCAAATGGCCGGAGGTTCATGAATTACGAAATATCCAACAAGAATTTCACCGAGATAATCTCTGTGTAGTCACACAAAGAAAAACATTTTTGACACAAAATGTTTGTGTGATTACGCAGAGATTAACTATGTTTTCTTACGTAATTTTTCGCGCTGAATCCGAATCCGGCTGCAGAATTGCTCTATCA